CGCGCCGCAACGCCATCGGCTGCTTCTCTGTCCGTGAACCCGACCTCCTGGCCAGCATGGGCCGTCGCATTTGACGCCTGCGCGGTCTCCTTCAGCGCGCGAACGCCACGATTGGCGCTGACGGGCTCGATGAAAATAAAAACAAAACAACAAAAGCAACAAACGCGCTGCGAGGGTCAGGACCGGGCGGCGGTCGCGCCTGTCGCCGGTGCAACAGGGGCAACATATGAATGCAGAGCCGTCAAAGCTACTGACTTTCATAACGGTGGAATCCAAGAAACGTGCCGCTGAATCGTTGAACTGCTGCAAGAGTGCGCTCCCGTCGTCGTCGACACCTGTTCCGCATTTGTTCGCCAACTCAATGCATTCCTGCAGCTGCTCTCTGGAAGTGCGTTCTGCCTCATTGTAGCGTTGACTCCGACGCTGCAGGCTGGCCCCCAGGCTCAGCGTCAACGTCGTCAGCGGCGCCCCGAGGACCGGGCTTGCCATGCCGCGCGGGCCGGGGCTGGACCATAGCGGCCTCGCGCGCCTGCTCCGCCAGGCAGTTGAGGAGCTTGGCAACGGTCGAGAGTGGCGACGGCCTGGCGGGCGTCATCTGGCCACTCTTCTCTAATGAACTTGATCTCGGACGGCGCTCCACCTGTGTCCTCCGGGGCCTTGGCCTTGGCCGAGTCCGCGAAGGACTCGCGGAAGGCCTCGGCCTCCGCCTGCTCGGTGGGAACGGCTGCCTTCGTACTCTCGAATGCCACCCTGAGCTCCTCCAACTGCTTGGCCATCTTCTCCGCGTCAGTCTGCAACCTGCCGAGCTGCTGTGGCGCATTCTTGGACTTGTCCTGGGCGCGGCGGTGGGCGGCCTCAGGCGGCTGAGTGCTCTCGAACTGCAATCGCAGCGTCTCAAGCTCAAGGGGGTGCGCCTGCTTGACCAACGCTGGTACTGCAGGATCCTTGATGGCCTTCGCATGGTACTGGATGGCGGCGAGAAGCTCAGTTCGGTTGACTTCTTTCTTCCCATCATCATCCGCTGCGTCAGCTGCAGGCTACTTGCCCGACATCCCATCCGCGGCAAGCGTCTCGCGAAGCTCAAAATTCTGCTTGCGGAGCTCGAATCGTTCATCGCGCTTTTTGGCCCGCGGAACAGGGCTCGCACGGCGCCGACCATCTCCTGGGACTGACTTTGCCTTCTCCATCCCGGCCTTGGCGCGCGCCACCTTCGCCCTGGCAGTGATCCGAGCCGGGGGCGCTGCGTCCGCGTCGGCACCGCACTCTGGGCGCCCAGTCCTTCTCGGCTCCTCACGGGCATCCCCGCGTTGATTGCCTCGGCCCGCACGGGGCTCGCGAGCCCTCCGCTCCTTGTGCGGACTCAGCCAGGAGCCGCCGAACCCTCGCTGGAAGCGAGAGGGCCCTAGGGAAAAAAAGCAATATCACTTTAGTAAGAGGGCGCAGAAAACCTCAGGAGCAGACATCTTGAGCCGCAGTTGCCACGGTGAGGAGGAGGGGGAGGGGCAGGAGGAGGTGGAAGAGGAGGAAGAGGAGGAAGAGGATCACGCTCCATGCTGCTGACATGTCCCTGCGACGTCAAAAATAATGCTGATGAAGATCGGGGGGGATGATGGGGGGAGAGGAGAAGGAGGAGGAGGAGGAGGAGTGGGAGGGGCGCCAAGCACGATACAAACTTGGGCGTCTTTGGCGTGCTTGAGCACCTGGTCGGAAACATTGAACACAACGCAGGAAGCGCCAACTAAAGCAAACAACACAAACACACTGCACAAACGAACCAACTAACTATGATTTCGGACAAACCCGCGCCTCCCATACGGGCTCATACGAATGAATCCTTACTGGAAGCCCTTCGAAAAGAATCCAGATAACAAGCCGTGCAAGGCACCCTTCGTATACACACCTTCGCAATTAATACGTACTAGAGAGTCCTTTGGGAACTGGGACAACAAGGTTTTCCTACTAGGGGATCTCTACCAAGGAAAAGAGTCTGCATTAAGGAACCCTTTTTTTTACCACGATATCCGTAAGAAAAGGTTCCTTCATGAGAAACCCTTGCCCACGAATTCTGACCCGGAAATCCCTAGCTCGGATTCAGAAGCGGCACCTCCGAACAAGAAGTCCTTATCAAAGAAACCATGGCAAAAGGGCCTCTCGGGAAATACTCCTGCACGGGGAGTCATGTGTAAAGGGCCCGTAATAAAGAATCCTCAAGACGGAACCCTTAATACTGACCCCGTAATAGGGAAATCTGAATAATAAATCCGCACGGCGTCTCCTTAACAGGGAATCGGTTGTAATGTTTACTTACCCGGGAACAGTGAGCGATGATTGACAGTGGGCCCACATTAAGGAATCCAATGGAACGGAATCCGTGGTGCTCACTACGGAATCTGACGTAAGCGATCGTTGATAAGGAAACCTTAAAAAAGGATTCCTTATTCCAGAATCATATGTCTTGTGTCCTCTCTACGACATCCCAAGAAAGGAATCCTAGCTAAAGAGCCCTTGTGACGGATTAGGTAAGCACGAGTCCGTAGTACGAGCTCTGAATGTGGAGTTTTGAATTGGGGGATCCGTGAGAAGGGATCCTGGCTAGGGAACCGTTCGTAAAAAAGTGCCTTCGCCGCGCTTCCGTGGGAACAAACCCCTGCGTGAGGAATCCGTAACTAGCGACTTCTCGTCAAGAACCCGCACACGGGAATCCATCCTAGGGAATCCTGGGTAAGGAACCATTACTAAGGCACCCTCTGAGCGGAACCCCAGAAAGCCACCATTAACAACAATAGACTATGGCGTCCTAGATAGACTGCGCATTTTTGTCGTAAGGTACTCTTGCTGGAGGCTCCTTGATGCGAGCCTTTGGTCGCAAATCCGCATTCAGGAGGCCTTAGCAAATAGCCGTGGTCATGTGAGGGATCCTGTTGCTGGACGATTCAATCCATAATGCAACCATGACGTATCCAGGTTAGGGAATCCTTGGTACGATACCCTTAGTCAGGTTTCCTTGCAGGGGATAGGGAACCCTTTCTGAGGAGGCCCTGGTCGGTCCGTAGCCAGGGACTCTTGATACGGATGTATGGGAAAACGAGGTCCCGAATCAAGAACCTTACGTCATAGATCTTCCGTGGGGGAACCTAAGTCGGGTTTACTTGCCAGGGGTGTCTTTAGTAATGCGCCGATAATGAGAAATCCTTCTCGCGGGAATCCGTAGTCTGGGATCCTTGCTAGGCGTTCCCTAATTGTAAATGTTGCGCCGCCTTTCCCGGTGAAAGCGCCAACACCGTCCAGGCCAACATCGCGCCTGGTGCGGGGGGGGGAGGAGGAGGAGGAGGAGGAGGAGGAGGAGGAGGAGGAGGAGGAGGAGGAGGAGGAGGAGGAGGAGGAGGAGGAGGAGGAGGAGGAGGTGGAGGAGGAGGAGGATGGAGGAGGGGAGAGAGGAGGAGGCGACACATGAGGAGCGGAGGAGACGCAGCAGGAGGATGATGCACAGGCTGCGGGGTGGCCTGGCGCCCACGCGTCATGGAGGGGACGGGATGGCAGAGTGGGAGCGGACGGACGGGGGACGGGGTGGGCGGGATGGGGGGCGGAGGGGGGCCTGGAAAGGGGGTAGAGGGAGGTGGAGTGGGAGCGGGGGGGGGGACAGGACGGGCAGAATGGGACGGAAAAGAAAGGGGAGGACTCTGGATTTGCTTTCCGCTCGGGGCCCATCGGGTAACGAGGTAACGAGGCGACGAGAGGGACCGAACAGGCAAACGACGGGCCGAGAACGAACGGCGAACGGACTGGGGACCGAAGGACCGATGCGATACAGCTGATGGTCGACAGAAAAAGAAGATAAGGATAATGAGAGCATGGGGCGGTGGAGAAACATGAGAGGGAGCATAATGAGGAGGAGGGGAACGCTGAGGGCAACAATGAGGGGATGGAGGGGAGGTGATGGGAGGAGGGAGGATTGGGTTGATGAGGAGGGAGGGAGTAGAGACGAGGAACAAGGTTGAACAGGCAGAGGAGGTGGAGGAGGAACAATGAGGGGGCATAATGATGACGAGGGGAGGAAGCGTAGCAGGAGGAATCTGCCTCCCAACTCCGCCGAAGGGCATGGCATGGTGTTAGTGGACCCTTCCGCTTCGTTCGTTGAGCCTTTGGCTTGCAGGGGTGGTGGCCTGCTGCTGTGGATAGGAACAAACCTCATGTGTCACGCTTGTCCCGTAATATCACCTACCCCTCGTCGTCCTCGTCCCTTTTTCTCCCCCGTCGTCAGATCCATCTCCACCTAACCTGGCCCTCCTCCTCCTCCTCCTCCTCCTCATCATCATCATCCCCCTTATCCCATCCACCCTACTGTTTCTGCTCCTCCAGTCATTTCGTCCTTCTATACCTCCTTACGCTCCCACTCCACTCTACCTCCTTACGTCCTTACCTCTTTACCTCCCTCCCAACCCCCCCTCCCACCCGCCACCTCCAATACCTTCGTCGCCCTCCTCTTCTTTGTCCTTCGTCGTCTTCCCAACCTCCTCATGATCTCTCCTCATCGTTAATCCTCCTCGTCTTCATCCTCTTCCCCCCTCTTCTTCCTCCTTCTCCTTCCTTGTTTCCTTCCTCCCGTCCTTCCTCACTGCTCCATCACCTCCTCCTTCTTCTTCTGTTTCTCCTTCTTCTCATCCCTCTTTTGTCCTCTCTCCTTCTCTGTCATCCTCCCGCCATCCTCCCGCCGTCCTGTCTCCTCCGCCATCCTACTCTCTGCCCTACATCCTCCTCCATCCCCCCTCCCCCCTCTGTAGCCGCCTCCCTCCCTCCTTCCCTTCCTCCCTCCCTCCCTCCCTCCCTCTCTCCCTCCCTCCCCCTCGCCTCCCCCTGGACCCCCTCCGTCTCTCCATCCATCCCTTTCTCTCCCTCCTCTCCCCTCCTATCCCCTCCTCTCCCTTCCTCCTCCTCCTCCTCCAAATCCTCCTCCTCCAAATCCTCCTCCTCCTCCTCCTCCTCCTCCTCCTCAGCCGAGCCTGGTAGCTGATGGTGTCACCCCACCTCGGCGACGCGGGCGAGCCGCCGACGGGGGAGGGGCCCCGCCGGGCCGTCGCCGGCGCCCGCCTCGAGGACCGCGCAGTCCCAGGCGTCCTGCGATGTTCCTGTTTCCCCCCAGTCCGCGGCCGCAGACGCAGACCTCCCCCAGACCCCTTCGGGCAATGACGAAATCACGACGGGAGGCTTCTGAAGGGGCCCTGGGACACACAAATAAATACACACAAATAACACAATTCCCAATCTGTTCCCATATGTTCTGGGTTTTCGTCTTCCCCCCCACTTCCCATATTTGCCCATATTTTCCTGGGAGTCAACGATTAATTGTGCCTGTGTGTCTCTTTCCCTCCTGACTTTCTCCCCATGTTCGGCCTCTCGAGGCCCTCACTGGCCCTCGGGACCGTCAAGAACGACTCATAATGGGAAACTGGCTCAGGGGAATGGGTCGAGACGTCTGAGGGTCGACGTTCTGAAAAAGTCATGACGTCGGAGGTCTGGGTCTGAGTTCGCACGTCGCAGAAACCTGGCGCGGGCATTTTTTCGGAAACTCGAGCGTCTGGAGCCCTCCATGGGCCCAGCGGGCGTCAAGAAGCTGCCTATGGTGAAAAGCCAGTCCGGGGGAAGTGGTCTAGACCTCTGGGGGCTGACACTGGGGAAAAGTCGCGACGTCGGAAGTCGGGGGGACCCCCGACCTCCTCCCCAAAGGTAGTTTTGCACCCGAAATGCGGTCCTCATTGCCCAGTGGGCTCGAAAGCGCCCCCCTGCCGCTAGAAATTAGGCGAAACGCCGGGATTGAAATCGTATGGTCGGAACTTCTGGGCACGACTGTTGCCCGGGGGGTGGCGCTGACGCCGAAGAGCCCTCTC